TTTGCTACTTCAGCATTCGCTCACTGAAAACTACCATATACATACCTTATATGTATACTTATGGAATGACCAACAACCGGCAATAATTCTTGAAAGAGTGAATAGAGACTCATCCCACGTTTATCGTTGAATCCAACAGACTATCAAGTTAACTAGTTAGGTGCCCTGACTGCGAGCATTACTTAAAGTGCACAAACTCCATTTACCTTGTGCGTTTTCTTCTCTCAGCTCCTCAGAATTTATGATAGCAGTTCCCTATAAGGTTCCGCTGACCACTGCTCATCTACCACCCACTGTGATCAGTCAAACTCTTTTAACCACATTTGACATAAACACACCCTTGTTATTTTATTTATGAAGTTTTGCCCTCTTAACAGCCCATTATCCTCCCTTGTGGAAGGAGTCCTGCTGAGCTCAAACTCCTATCTCTATACTCTGCTCGTCTTGAAATATCTGGCCTATGCATTCGTAGTAAACATGACCTGGCTTCTCCATGTGCTTCTTGTTGTTTATGTTTCGTGACACACATGAAAACACGCTTCTCCAGAAGCCTTCGAAAGGTTTGGCTCTAAATCGCGCCGCTGTGCACATCGGCATGTACCACTGCCTTTTTCAAGTATTCGCTTTTTTTAACCGTATTCGGGTCCGAATTTTGATGGTCTCATATGCGCTCAAGCCTTACAGGAAGGTCCACTACTCGAGGATACCTTGGAGGTCCCTCAATTTTTGACGTTCACACATCGAATTGTGCTTATCGAACCATCTGTTTGTGTTTTGGTTCCCAAGGTTGTCACGCACTTCCTATTGTGCTGCGAGTTCTAGTGCAGACAGGAATGCGAAACGTCTTCTACGGTGAATAAGCAAAATCATTCTCAATTGTTCACAGGAAAGTGACGCTGTGGATGAAGACCAGTCTTTACTGGTTATTCTGTGCAGTATAGAAGAAAGAATTATCGTTCTTCCCCTTCGACGTTCAGCTGCCCGAAGTGAGCTTCCGGAGGGAGATGGTGAATGCTCCAATCTTTGGAGTACACGACCCTGACGTTGAGGCCAGTGTCTCACACTCTTACGGCCCATGGTCGGCTTGTCTAAAATGCCGGGCGATCCCTATGAGTGACTGTAAATTTTTTCATTTTTGAGATTGTCGTTCAACCATTCGAGTTCCTTCCCGCTATTTGTTCGTTCCATCAGTGTTTCAGCATCAACGAGGTGTCTGTTCTTATGAGGCCGATCATGTTTTTAGCGTGTATGGCTCAGTGGTTTACCCGGAAATTTCCTTTCCCCGAACATCACCATAGAATTTCGGTATTTATATGGTGTAAGTAGCTATTTATATAGCTTCAGACGAAGCCGCGTTGCTGCAAAGAGCAAATTATTCTTGTTGAGGCTCTAAATTGGAAAAAAAATAAAGCATTCGTTATTCAGAAGTTACCAAACCCATCGTAAGCTCTCCTGATATTGTCAGTATTCCCGCTTTTGAAGTTCTTTCGGCCTCCGATTTTGATAAAATAACTTCGGTGGTTCGTACTTATGCCACTGCGCAACCAACCACAGCGCAGTAGAACTTTATTTCCACCTCAAACTTGGGTGATTAAACGTACAATCTGAGGGAAGGCTTGCAACAACAATAAACGGAGATCCCTCCAATCGAGAACCAAAGTAAGGCATTATAATGAGAAGACACCATAAATGAGCGTGACAACATGAGCTGTGAGATGTGCTTGCCGCCACGCGGTTAATCGTTGAGCTTTATTCGAACCTCAGACTTGGGTAATTAAACCCCACTAAGAACACGAACATACACTAGGAATTCTCGTAACGGGAGTGAAATCTCAAGAGTATACAAATTCTATGAATCCTACTAAACAATAGTGAGCAAAAAATAGAAGGTAAAACCAAGTTGCATCTGATCCTGCCATGTATCCAAGCGAATCGAGCATCGGCGCGTCCTCTTTTATGCGAACTAAGAATGTATACATTTTTGCGTTGTTTTCTGGGAAGACTACCATCTCAATCAGATAAGCAGTAAAAGAATGCAATCAGCTGTAAAGCATGAGAAAGACAGTTACATACTAAAAGTGAAAGGATATACATCTCTCTCATTCATAAAGCAGAAACTTGGTGTGTCGGTTTGTCGGTTTGTGTGTATGTCGGTATGTCGGTGTGTCCGTCCGCAAACGTTTGTGATTTTGATAAAGGTAGTGATATGGAAAACCCATTCTCTCAACGAAACCCTCACATTTCCCTCTTCACATGTAAAGCAGTAAAGGGGTGGGTACGTTAATGGGGTGGAATGAGTTCTGCGGAATGTAGTGAGTACATAGTGAAGCCAGTACTGCGACACTGGAACTTCTTGCTGACAAAGTACAAGGTTACCCCATTCATTTTTTCATTTTTTCTTCCATCATTCTCCGCCCTTCTCATTTCAGTATTTCA